TATTACTAGCAGGACTCTGGACAGCAACATACATTCAGAGCTGTTCAGTCAGCCCCCATTTTTTTAATGGGCACTGTTGTTTGCTTCCTACTCAAGTCAAAATTCTGAGCAATATATATGGTTAGTATGCAATGTGTATGCATATATCTACACACACACAGAGAGAGAGCACTTGCTTACAACAGCAATAACTAAACCATTATGAGTCAGTTTGAAGCCCGGCTTAAACCACATTGTGCCATCCTTCCAAGAAAACATTTGCCACCTTCCCATCATACTCAAATAAGTCTAGACCTTGCACAATTTGGTTCCTGCATGCTTCTCCAGCATCTTATCAATCACTTTCTTTCTCTACTGCACATTACAATTATACTCCTCTTTTTTGATCCTAAAAATAAGTTATTCACTCTCCTACTTCATGGTCTTTACATTCTCTGTTTTCTCCTTGGAAACATCTTCCTTCAACATTTACATTGTTTTTGTGGGGAATTTTAAGAATATATTAATGTAAAATATTAAAATAGTAACAAAATGTGGAGATACCACATTAAAATCCCATCACCCCATAGAAATAATGCTTTCATGTAGTTCTCTATGACTGGTACAGTAAATGCTATGCTCTATTCATCTATTTCCCTATTATATACTGTACATATTCACAATCTTCCATAAGTTCCAACTATTTCTATGCTGTTTCTTATACATCCAGTTCTTGACAAAATAAAGATCTCAAGAGATCTTTCAGGATCAAGCTAAATAACCTATTCTTCTCCACCATTATTATTACTTTGCTCATTGCACTGTCTCTACATTAACTACATTTACCTACTTACTTATCAATTTTGTTGAACACCAGTGAAATATAAGTTCTATGAAGGCAATGATCTTGTCACTACATCATCACTAGTGTCTAGCCCAAAACCTAACAGATTACAAGTGCCAAATATTTAATGACTAAACAAATAGTAGTGTCAATTAACATTTATAAGATGCCAAATCCTACCTTTATATCTCACACTTAAATTTCTCTCCTTGAGGGTCACACTCCCATTTTAACTATCTACATGGCAACTCCACCTGGATAACAGGTAGGTATTTTAGTCTCAATTGGGCAATAAGCCTACTCCTATGTTGCTTCTTCCTATTTAGATAAGCAATACTACCATCAAGTAAATTTCCAAGACAAAACTTAAGTCTTATCCTTGATGCATGCAATCCTTCTTAAAAAATCTCTTTATGTTAGCTCAATTCTATCTTCTAAGTCTCTATTCAATCTATTTCATTCCTCTTTACTTGTTCCCATTCCTCTTTAATTCCATCACTATCACATGAGGGTAAATCATCATCCATCATTTCTTTCCTAGACAACTATAACTTTCTAACTTGTTACTCCAAATATTTTCCCCTTTTTTGGCCAATATTAAATAGATATTATCTAAGACATTGCATTTTCCACTTACAACACAGTAATAATACAGTGCAATGTTATTTCCTTTCCCTATACACATTCCATAATCAAGTACTGATCCCCAGAAATTTAGTCTAGCAGTTTAAACTTTGAAACTGCAGTGCGCTATAAATTTGGGTCCTTATAGGACAATGAATGTCAAAGTATTCAGATTGGCTTGATCAATGTCTTGTGGGTCCAAAAGAGGCCCCACAAGATGGAGGAGCTCCACCACCAGGGAAGCCGCAGAGCATGCCTCCAGGTATGCCTCCAGCACTCTGGAACAGCTTGGTGATGATGGGGTTGCAGACCTTCCCTAGCTGATGCTCAAATTCCTCCTTTTCTGCAGTTGACAATTTCATTGTACTTGTCAAGGATCTTCTGCTTGTCCTCACCATTGATCTTGCCTTGGAGCTTTTCATCTACAACTGTTGCTTCCATATTAAATGCATAAGACTCAAGGGAATTCTTAGAAGGCATCTCTTTTCTTCTCATCTTTGGCTTTATACCATTCAATGTCTTCTTTACTCAGGCAACCTCTATCATTGATAATCTTGTTTTCTTTCCCAGTGCTCTTGTCAACAGCAGAAACACTAAGGATACCATAGACATCAATATCAAAGGTGACTTTAGTCTGAGGAATACCACAAGGTGAAGATGGTATCCCAGTGAGTTGAAACTTATCAAGCAGGTTATTATCTTTGATTATGGCATGCTTACCTTCATAGACCTGAATGAGTATACAAGGCTTGTAGACTGAGTAGATTTAATGAGACATTCGGCATAAATAATCTATTACTGGGATTCATTGCAACTTGATTCTTTGCCACATCAATCATTTGATATTGGTAAATGCGACACAGGTTGGGATGGTCCAGTTGCTTTTATCATTTGCACTCATCTCCACTTTCTCATGCTGGAAGATCCTCACATAGTAGATGATGATGCCAGGATCAATGCCAACCACAAGGCCCTTGGACATGGTTACTCAATGAAGGTCCCAGTGCTAAAGAAAGAAAACTGCATCTCACGGTTGCCACTGCACTAAATGAGACCTCCAAATACATTCATATCTCTGATTATTTCTTCTCCATGCTGTAGTCTAAGTGATACTTTCAAAACTTCCTGTTGTTGCTGTGTTGTTAGGTACCGTAGAGTCAAGCACAACCCATAGTGGACCTATAAACAAAAGAACCCTGTTCTATCCAGCACCATCCTTATACTTCCTGACACACAAGAGCCCACTGCAGTAGTCACCATGTCAATCCACCTGGTTGAGGATCTTCCTCTCCTTTGCAGACCCTCCACCCTTCCCAACATCATGTCCTTCTCCAAGGAATAGCACCTCCTAGCAACATGTCCAAAGTGTGTGAGGTGAAGCCTCATCATTCTTGCCTCCAAAGAGCACTCTGGCTGCACCATCTCCAAGACCTATATGTTCATTCTCTTGGCCATCCATGGGAAGTTCAGTGCTCGTCTCCAACACCACAGCTCAAAGGCGTCAATTATTTTCTGTCATTCCTATTCACTGTCCAGGTGTCAGATGCATAGCTAATAATCAGAAAGACTATGGCCTGAATCAGACACACTTTAGTCCTCAAAATGTTATCAGCTACTCATCAGTAATTTGGAAAGGTTTCTAACTGCAGATTTTCCCAGCGCAATGCATCTCCTTATTTCGTGACTGCTCATACCAAGGGTGTTAATTGTGGATCCAAACAAGATGATGCTGTTGACAGTTTCAATCTCCTCTCCATCCATCATGACATTGCCTATTGGTCCAGTGGTAAAAATCTTTGTTTTCTTGATATTGAGAAGCAATCCATACAATGACTTCCTAGTACTCTTTTAAAAGCCTAAAAACCTTATCCTTGCCTCATTATCCAATATGTTTCTATAATCCAGCCTTTGGCCTTCTTTAAATTCTCTTAACCCACTATCCTGTAACACTTCTCAGACCCTTAAGTATACTCATCCTTCTGCCTAAAACACTCTATACACCATGTCACACCACCTTACATACAGATACTCATCCTTCAGGTCCTAGTTCAGCCATCTTCTTCTCTGGAAATCTGTGGTAGACAAAATTCTAAAGATATTTCCCCAAGATTTCCATCTTCTTGCTATACAAACAAACACAAATCTAGGTACTACTGTAAAGAAAATTTGCAGATATAATTAAGGTTATTATTTAGTTGATTTTAAAATAGATTATCCTGGTGGGCATAAAATAATCATCTGAGGCCTTAAAAGTAGAGCTTTCCCCCAGCAAAGAGCAGATGCAGTCAGAGAGATGCAGCAGAAGTCTGAAAGAACCTGAAGTGCATTCTCTCCCAGAGATGCTAGGAAAGTGCTCATGGCAGCACATAGCTTGACTTTTGCCTCGTGAGACCCTAAACAAAGAACCTATCTGAACCTGACTGGATTTCATTAAGTGAGTGTTGCTTTATGCCACCGAATTCAGAGCTGCATCAGAAAATTAATACTGACCTAACCTCCACCCCAGATTGGATTAGGGATCCTTGTTAAATGTATTTTTTTCATCATACTTATTCTTTCATTTCATATATATATAGTTTAAGTAATATATAGTCAGAGATCTTATGATTTTCTGTTATTATTCACCACCTGGTATCCATTAAATTGTTTCTACAAATTCTCAAGCATGATATATACTTTGTAGAGTATTATATTACAAAATATATCTGCAATAAAAGTCATTGTTCTATAGCAATGATTAAAAAGAAAGGAAAAGGTAGAATGATGAAATATATTTAGGCAGTTTTTCTTCTCATAATACAAATTATCCTCCACTTACCACCTGTTATTGTTGTGGTTATTTTCTGTCAAATTAGAACAAACCCATAGCTGACCTGCCAGAGGGTTTTCAGAGGCAGTGAATCACACAGGAGGAGACTCTGCATGTTTCTCCTAAGGTGCAGCTGGTGGATTCAAACAGTACCTTTCTTTGGGTTGACAGTATAGCTAGCTCCTTACCACTAGGCCACCAGAACTCCCCTACTACCCACAATCTAAAATATCTACTCTAAAGGACAAATATTGTATAAAACCCTTATTTTAGAATGAGTATGAGGATTCAAGGGGGGTGGGGGAGGGTGGAAGCAGAGGGATGAGGATGTACAGGGGGAGGGAGAGTTAATCATGAAGTTGTACAATTTGATGGGTAGGCAGGGTGAGAGAAATTGGAAGAAATCTGTTCTCGAAAACAATTTATTCACATTTTGTAAATAAACTAGTATAAAAAAAATAAAATATCTACTCTATGTCTACAGCCATCTAAAAAATAAAACCAATGCTATAGAGTCATTATTACTCATGTCACGAAGTCACATCTTTCACACATGTTTGTATTATAAATATAGGTTTAAAACAAGTGTCCTACTTTTTGGAAAAATTTTTCAAACAAGAAGAAAAAAGATATAAATTTATTCAATCTTCTCAGTCACTATTATTTCAAAACACAGAGACTAAATACACCACAGTTAACTGGTCAGTAAGGGGTAAGGTCAACAAAAAAGAACAATTTACTTACATCAGTGGAAAAGCAAAAAATGGTAGTGTCATGGCAAGTCTTGCTGTAAACTCATCAGGAAGATACCATAAATACACAATTAAGCATGTAAACAGGTAGAGAACTGAGGAATAGAGAATTAATCTTCCAACCCATAATTTTTGTAATCTCTGATTTTTTTCACTGAATTCTTCTAATGCTTGAATTTCCTGTTAAGAGAAAACTGTGCTATATTATTAAATCTTAAACTTTATAACACGACAGAAAGACGATATAAAAAGAGCTCTTAATATTCAGTGAAAAATAATGCCTTAATATCTTAACATAAGACAAAAAGTGAAACTGAAAATTAAGGTAAAACATGTAAAAATGTCTAATCTGACAACAAGTCTTACAAATTGCCCTCCACTTACCACTTGTTATTGTTGTACTGCTGTCAGAAACAACCCACAACTGACTTAAAATTAAGTACAAAATTAAGGCACCATGTTTAAACTATCATACTAATAAATAATGAAATTGGCATCAGAAAATAATACATGCCAAGTGAACAAAGAACATTTTTTTTCTTTTCATCAGTGATCATCAAGAAATCAAGAATAGTTTTTTAACGATGCCTAAAAAAATATGTGAATATAAAAAGAATAAAAATTAAAAGTGATCTATACTAAATTGTTTGCATTTCTTTCATCAGTGTCATTATTCCCAGAAATTAATTCTTTTTAACAATGACAGTGTTAGGTGTTGAGTTGATTCTGACTCATAGTAAATCTATGTATGACAGAAAGGAACACTGCCTGCGCTTACAACTTCCTCACAATCTTGCTGTGTTTGAACCCATTTTTTAAGCCACTATATCAATGACAGCCAATATAAAGAGCCATGAAAATTTTGCAGACTGATAAAACTGCTGCAGACTATCCTATACTCTAGTTTATTCTATCTATAACATGTGTAACATTGATACACACCAGGCTATAGATCTAATTTCATTCTATGAGACTGTATTACTTGATAGAGACTCATTAAGTCACTGATGTTGTTGCTGTTTCCTGTAGAGTTGGAACTGACCCATAGGGGACCCTCCGAAGGTTTTCAGAAGCAGTTAATTGCAAGGTAGGTGATTACTCATCCTTCTCTGGAGCAGCTGGTGGCCTTGGACTGTGTACTTTCAGGATTGCAGTGAAGCTTCTTGCCACTAGGCCACCAGAATTCCCTGGTGGACTGTGAATTTTTTTTTCTTTTTTTTTTTTGTCTTGTTACATTTTTCTATCTTGTTACATTGAAGTTCTCGGGATTACTCTAGATCATCTCTAAATTCCTAGACCAGACTGGGTCTCCAAAAAAACTTAATACATAAATATATAAAATATAAATATCTAAATATTGAACACTAATATCAATTAAAATTTATCACAGTCAAATAATTTACCTTATCTATATTTTCCAGAACTTCCACAGTTGAAGGTTTTGTCTATAAAAGAAATAGAAATGAGATAAAATATTAAAATTAGTCACTGTAAAGGTACTTTCAAGTCACTGTAAACATAGTTTCATGTTCAAGAAACATTTTATATAGTCATTAAAGAAATTAACATTTTAAAAT